TGACGGACGGATGACGACAAATTTTTTTTACCCAGAAGGCATTGGCGGCTCGACCCAGAATTCCGATGGGCAGCGGGGACTGCGGGAACTGTGGGATAGCTGCCCACAGTGCACCGCTTCCAATATCGACGCTCGCCCCGTTAGTGTGGACTCACAAAGTCGAATTACTGTCCTTAGTGTGTCCTTAGTGTGGACACACACGTTCGACTTTGCAATATCGATTCCACATATTCGATTTAAGTAAAATCGAATTACCCTCGTAGTGTAGACATACCCTAATTCTTCTGAGCAATAGCAAGGGGTAGAACAGCAAACACGGCAATGAGGCGATTACCACACTCAGCGGCTTGGCCTTTCCTTTTTTGGGCAAAGCTGGTGATTAATTGGCTGTGGCAACAGAGAAGCTCCACAACAACGGTTTCACTTAAATTCCTGACAAAGCAACACAAACCACTGACTCCCCCACGCAACGTGTAACAGCAATGCACAGCTCTACAGCTTAAGCCCACGAGGGTAGGTGGTCATTATGTATTAAAACAGATCATTATGCACACAGCCAACAGTGGGAAAGACAGAAATCAGAAAGCTGTATGCTGCTTCAAGAGAGATCTCTGTGCTCAAACGAGAAAGCAGGGTTCAAAACCGATTGTGGAGAACAAGGGAGCTATCTGTATTTATGAGTATCACCTGCACCTCACCTTGTTTGACATTATCCTTGCAGACTGCGTGGAGCTAAATCAGGGGAGGCTGCTGGGGAGAAACAAACAGGAAACGAAACGATGACAGAGCTAAGGTACCTCCAGAGGGAAGACCCAGGCCCTTCGGGGAACAAGGGGGGAGCTGTTAATTGGGAAACCAACCAGGTTAGCAGGTTCGGTTTTCCGAGGCCTAGGATCCAAGGGGCACCAAACCATGAAAGACCCCAGCCTAGGGAGGAGGGGGGAAAGGGGGCAGCAGTGGCTGGAGTGAGGCTCTGGCAGAGACGCTGGGAGAACACAACCGGGGCTGTCTGTCTCTCCCAGGCCAGGAGAGGGGGTCTAGGCTGAGTGGAACTGACCCAAGGGAAAGGATACAGTTTTGGCAGGACCCAGGTGTACAGGTCTTTTCCTGTTTTATCTCTTTGCTCTGCTGGCTGTGGGCCTTTGGGTGAATAAATACTTTGCTTCAAAGAAGCTGTTTCTGAGTCACTTTAATCAGCTGCTAGTCTGGGTGCCACAGGTAAAGGGCGGTGGGCCTGTCGTGTTATCACAGCTGGGAAACGGGGCTGCAAGCCCAGAGAGCCAGCTGGAGAGTGCTGGGACCATGTGGTTGGAGGAGGGTGAAGACGGCTGCACTCGGGAGGGACTCGCAGCTCCCCTGTCACCATGACACCTACGCTATCCCGTTTCTTTTGTTCGAGGTCTTGGATATAAGCTGGATACTCTGAGCGGAGGATTCTGGTGGACACAGAAGGAGCCGCTCCGTTCAGGACTTGGCTGATCGTTACAAAATGCAACTAGAAATATTTTTAAAGGCAAGAAAACGTCAAAGGGGTCAGCTCCCCAGACAGCTTCACACCCACGCTGCTCATGGTAAGGCCCTTGGACTCTTCCCTCATTCTTCACCAGCCAGCCAATCGGTGTGGGCATCTGAGCCCACCTAGGTAGGGACGGATACCATGCTCCCGGCCATGGTGTATGAATACCTACGGAGCACACCCTGTGCTATGGATTTATTTCGAAACACAACGGGCTGGGGTAAAAGAATAAATCCGATAGGCAGCTAAGGGCTGGACCAGAGACCATTCTCCCGCAAACTCTCATGAGCATGAAAAGGGAAAGCCACCTGTGTGACAGTATGTAAGCACAAATACGTGCCCAGGAGCAGGGTGTCCAACTGGGCGTCCACACGCTGATTGACGGCAGCATCAGCACAACAGGGTTGGGTTGTATTTGTGGCGGTGTTTCCTTTCGCGGCGACCTGACTCCGCTGCGTCTCACTGAAGATCTCGCCCGTAGCTCAAGTCCCAGCAGGAGACTGCAGCGGCTTTCGGAGGCGCCGCGGCTGCTGGCCTCCCATGCCCAGAGGAAGAGCTTCTCTCCATTACAGGGGACACTAGCTGTCTGACCCGCCAACACTAGACTCCGGAAGGGAAGAGATGGCTCTGCACAACTCTGCTGTCGTCGCCTACAATTCTCATCTCAATTCCTCTACACCCTACACTCTGCTGCCTCCTCTCCGCACAACGCTTTGTCTCCTTCTCCCACTCAGTTCTACGCCTGGAGCAGCCGTCCTCCTCCGATAGGCCATGCACAACTCCCTCCCCGCCCGTCAGTCACGCCTCACAAGTCTTCCCATTTGTCTGCCAGCCCGTATCTCTGCCCGGGTGCCCACTATCACTACGCCACAGGGCTCACCACAGAGCCCTGGCCTCAGTCTGCGCAGCTCCTGCATTAGGAAGGGACTGAGGCAGGCCTCTAGGACTGTTAGGCATCTCTGGAGCTCCACAGTTCTGAAGGTTTGCAGACCTGGAGCTCCCTCCTGCAGAGCCCTGGTGGCACCATTTCTGTGGTTTGGCGCAGGAAGCAGATAGGGAGCAGGCCAGCCGGGGGCTCAGAAAGGGCAGAGCAGGGTACAGAGATTTCTGTATCCTGATAGGGCATCAGCTGGCCAACAGACCGAGGACAGAACATCCCCGTCCACTCGTGCCAGGGGCAGGAGCACCATGGGAAATCAAACAGCTCCCTGGTGAAGCAATATCACTTGAACCACCCAATGTGTCCCCAGGGAGAGCCAGCCTTTCGGAAATCAGCCTGCCCTAGACATCGTTCAGGAAACTCACACCTGTTACAGGTGCGGTGTCTTAATTCCAGCCTCCCTGGGCTTGTGTGAATTAGCGAAGCAGCTGCTGACGAGTGGCATTCCCCTGCAGGAAAAACGACAGCACAATCCTCACTGCAATACATTTCTTCCAAAGAGGAGCTCACTGAGCATACAGAATCTCACCAAAACACTGAGCTCTTCAAGTGTGCAGGGTACGTCAGCACACCCACACTCGACCAATCCTGAGCATTTTACTCTGCCCGGCTTTCCTTTCAGAGCACAAGCAGTACTTCACTTTCCTAAGCCTTGTATCAACAGCAGCTCATTAGTGAGCACTAACAAAACTGGCCCTGGATATGGAGGCCTGGTCTACCCCCCAGTTAGGTCGAGGTCTACGCTACAACGTTGCTCCCACCAACGTAAGTCACCCACTACACTGACTTAACTCCGCCCCTGTGCCAGGTGTGGCACGTAGGTCGGTGTACTTAGGTCAACGCAGCGTCATGTAGACACAGCGCTGACTGTTCCGCCTGGCGGGGCTGCGGCTCTCAGCGCCCCACAGCACCCCACGCTGACAGTCGGTGCAAGAGCTCCTGGCGAGGACATGCACCGCCGACAGAAGACACTAGTGTGGACACACACAACTGATTTAATTACTGCGGTGGCTGTATGTTAGCGTAACTTAAGTCACCTCAACTTTGTAGTGAAGACATGCCCTGAGTCTCAGAGTGCAGTGGGAAGGGGATGAAATTTTTAGAAAGGAAAGTTTAGGTTTATGATGATTCCTCACAGTGAGATCATTAAACTATGGACTAGTCTCTTAAGGGACGTGGTGCAAAGGTTATCGCTTGGCACTTGCAGAAGCAGACACGATAAAGCCCTGATCAACGGACTGTAGGGAACAGGCCTGCCCTGGCCAGGCAGAACTGAGCTAACAGGGAGGTGTGGGTTCCATCCTGCAATTACAGCACAATCATTGCCTGATACTGTTTCTACTGGCATTGGATTTCACTGCCACACAACCAGTCCTCTGGGGGCTCGGTTCTGAAGAAGGCAACTGGGAAGAACTCACTAATTAATTAAGGGCACCCACTTCGCCCCCTACAGGAATAAACCGAGAAAGGCCGGCTGGGTTACATGTCACAAAATCACTGAAAAGGAGTCTGATTGGTGGTGCATTTCCATGTCTCTGCCCCCAGCTGGGCACAGCGACGGAAGGGAAGTACTTGACTGCGAATTGAGAACCGCTTCAGAAACCCCTCAGCACATCTTTTCAACAGCCATCCTCTAGCCGAGTTCCTGGCGAGAGCTGCATGAAACCAGCCAAGCCACCAATCCCAGAGCAGGACACAGGGGATCAGGTCCCCTTCAATGCGCAGAAACCTCCTTTTTCACCCACAAAGGCGAGGGGAGTAATTGCACCCTCCTAGCTCAGCTGCCTGCAGGACTGGAAGAGAAGCCTGGAAATTAGCCAAGGACAAGGCCTGTTAGGGCCCTTGGTCCATCGCCCGCAGTGAATACAAATTGCACCGCCCGATAAAAGCATACGGTGCTGTGCCCACGGTCATGTGAACTGACTCCCTTTACTGGGAAACAAAAGCAACCCTCTAAAAGGCCTTTTCTTGCTCGGTGGGGGGAGTGGCACAAAGTGCCCCTGCAGCGAACACCACAAGGGCCAGAGTTTAGATGCATCTCCTCCTTCCCATTGACATTTGTGGTCGAGAGATTGCGCAGCTCCTCACAAAAGCCTCTCCATAGCCCACCTGCTGCGACAAACCCAGCTTCTCCCGCACCGCACCGCACCCCCCCGCTATTCCCAGCTGGCGGAGGGAGAAATAGCCTCTGCTGAGGAATGCTGCTCCCAGCAGGTAAGTGGGGCTCCGAGGACTGATATGACATATAAAAAAACATGAGGCACTTGGATCCCGTGGCAATCAGGGCCAGACAAGAAGGCAGATTAGCTACTATTATAAGGCTCCAAGAAGAATCCAAGACAGATACAGAGGAGGCGAAGAGGAGGAGGAGGAGGAGGAGTTTTGAAGGGGATCTAATTACCATGCCGTGATTTTTCAAAGAAAACAGAGCAGTTTTGACACAAGCTGGGGTTTGCAAAGTTCCCAAGGAAAGAGCGCTCTGAGCGAGGGAGGAGCAGCTCCTGCAGCATGCACAAAGAGGTGAACGCAAAGGGGCCCAGGTACCTGACCAGAGCTCCCGCCAGGTATAATGAAGCCTCACTCTGCATTTCTTCTGGTAGCACAGCAGCTTGTGCACGATCTGAATGCACCGCCTGGAACAGAGAGAGGACAGCAAGATTATCACTCACCACGAGACACGGCCGTGGCCATTTTAAACCCTTACGCAGCAGACCTTTCGCCTTCCAGGAAGGGACGAGCCAGCGGATGGCAGGGTGTCTCTCTTGGGGCAAGTTGAACCAAGCCCCTAGCTAGGAGGGCTCGCCTCACTCTCTCAGGCCCGCTGCCCTGAGGGAAGCAGGGCCACCTGGAGAGAGCCTCTTGCAGTGCAGCGTTCAAGCTCCCGGTGACTGAATGTGCTACAGAAACACTTTCAGAACAATGCCCGGGGCGCTCTTGTGTGGCTGATTTCTCAAATTTGGACAGTCTTCCTCATGGGGAGAGTCACTGCCCTGGCGTGAGGCGCCTGCAAGAGCCACGCGGCTCGCGCAACTGACAGGCTTTGCCAGAGTTCAGTGAGCTGGCAAGTTCCTGGAATCTGGGACCAGTTACAGGTGCAACAGACCGTATCAGCTCCACACACACACACACACACACACACACACACACACGACAGCATCACAAGCACACGCAGGTCCCTGCAAGGTCCCCAAGCAAAACTCAGGGGGCGTCCAGCTCACTGCCCGTGCTGACTAAGTGCCAGAGGCATCGCCTGCAGACGCTGCCAGCTCCAAAGCCGTAAGCGTGGCACTTGGCAGATCTACAGCATATCTAAGTCTTCCTACTGAACTCACAACCAGCGTGCCCGAGCCCCTCTGTGGCGCTTACTGGGCAAAGTCTGCAGGATCTCGAGAGAAAACAGTTGCATTCCTGTTTGGTAACTGTTCTTCTTCAAGATGCTTTGCACATGTCCATTCCACTTCAGGTGCACGTGCACCAAAGCCGGAGAACTTTCCCCATAGCGGTACCCGTCAGGGCGGTGCATGCACCCTCCACACACTTGTGCTGCTAGCCAAGGGCATACAGGGGCAGAATCACACTAGAAGCCAGAGTTTGCTGCCACTCTGATGCAGGGTGGCAGGAGGGTGGGTTGTGGAATGGACATAGAATCACAGGGTTAGAAGGGACCGCAAGGGTGATCTCCTCTAACCCCCGGCCCAAATGCAGGATTTGAGCAGCACAATACATGTGCAGTGTATCATGAAGCACAACAGTACTGAACAGGTATGTAACTATTTTTATCTCAGTGTCTGCACATGGCATAAGTAATTCCAGATGCAGGAAGGTACTGGAGTCTACCCATCAAGGAGTCCAACACCACTCTCCCAAATCTAGCATCCTCTCGTCAGGCCTGGGGGACAGCGTAATGAGGAGTGAATGTATGACCCAGATGCAGTCCTGCAATAGTCATTGATGGGTACGTGACCCAAGAAAGCAGCTGATGCAGCATGAGCTCTTGTAAAGTGTGCTAAAACTCTTTGAGGTAGAAAAACTTTAGCAATATCATAGCACAGATGAATGCAAGAGGAGACCCAGGAAGACATCCTCTGAAGTGACAGGTTGTCCTTTCATCCCGTCAGCACAGGAGACTGTTGGACGAGGAAATGCCCTGAAGTTCGTGCATAGATCCAATATTGCCTGAAACCGACCTCAAACCAGCCAGTCATCCAGATATGGGTGCCACCACGGTCATGCGCTTTGTGAAGACTCGAGGGGCTGATGGCAAGTCAAAGGGGGGAAGACCATAAACCAATAATGAAAATCTGCTACAACAAATTTTAGTAGGGCTGGATGGGTCTTCAGGAGGTCACCAAGTCCAGCCCCCTGTACTGAGGCAGGACCAAATGTACCTAGACCATGCCTAGCAGGTGTTTGTCCAACCTGTTCTTAAAAACCTCCAAAGAGGGGGATTTCACAACCTGCCTTAAGAACATATGAATGGCCCAGTATCCTGTCTTCCAACAGTGGCCAGTGCCAGGTGCCCCAGAGGGAATGAACAGAACAGGGAATCAAGTGATCCATCCCCTGTCGCCCATTCCCAGCTCCTGGCAAAGCCTTGGAAGTCTATTCTAGAGCTTAATTACCCTTATAGACCATTTTTTCCTAATACCCAACCTAAATCTCCCTTGCTGCAGATGAAGCTCATTCCTTGGCCTACGTTCAGAGGACTTGGAGAACAGGTGATCACTGTCCTCTTTATAGCAGCTGTTAACATATTCAAAGACTTATCAGGTCCCCCCTCAGACTTCATTTCTCAAGATTAAACATGCCCAGTTTTTTTAACCGTTCATCATAGGCCAGGTTTTCTAAATCTTTTATCCCTTTTGTTGCTCTCCTTTGGACTCTCTCCAATTTATCCACATTTTTCCTAACGTGTGGAGCCCAGAACTGGATACAATATCCCAACTGAGGCCTCACCTGTGCTGGGTAGAGCAGTTATTTACCTCACATTTCTTACATGAGACTCCTGTGAATACGCCCCAGAATATTAGCATTTTTGCAACTGCATCATATTGTTGACTCATATTCAATTTGTGTTCCACTGTAACCCCTGATCCTTTACAGCAGTGCTACCACCTAGCCCGTCGTTCCCTATTTTAGAGTTGTGCATTTGATTTTTCCTTCCTAAATGTAGTACTTTGTACTTGTCTTTACTGAATTTCATCTGGTTGATTTCAGACCAATTCTCTGATTTGTCAAGGTCATTTTGAATTCTAACCCTGTCCTCCGAAGTGCTTGCAACGCCTCCCAGTTTGGTGTCATCGCACATTTTAGAAGCATACTCTCCACTCAATTATCCAAGTCACTAATGAAAATATTGAATAGTACCAGACCCATGAATGACCCCTGCGGGCCCCCACTCGATATGCCCTGCCAGGAGTGAACCCTGGATAACCACTCTGGGTATGCTCTGTCAACCCACTGTGTAGTCATTTCATTTAGATCACATTTCCCCAGTTTGCTTATGAGAATGTCACGTGGGACTGTGCCAAAAGCCTTATTAAAAAAATCAAGAAATACCACGTCTACTGCTTCCCTCATATCCACTAGACCAGGAATGCTGCCAAAGGAGGAAATGAGGTTGGTTTCGCAGGATTTGGTCTTGACAAACCCACGTTACCTATTTTTTATAATCCTATTGTCCTCTAGGTGCTTACAAATTGATTGTTTAGTAATTTGTTCCAGTACTTTTCCAGGTATCAAAGTTAGGTTGACTGATTTATAATTCCCTGGGTCCTCTTTTTCCCTTTTTAAAAGATAACTACTATGTTTTCCCTTCTCCAGGCCTCAGGGACCTCACCTGTCCTCCATTAGAATTGCTAATGATTCTGAGCTTGCTTCTGAGATCTGTGGGCAGAACTTTCTCTTAGGGCCTGGAGTATAAATGCCCAAAGATTTTAGGGTTGCCCCAGAATCTCTAAGAGTGCAAATTTTCATCTGTTTTCCCCCCGAGAACAGATTCAGGCCCTCAAATGGCAAGTCCTCAATTGTTTGCTGGACTTCTGTTGGTATGCTCGATAACTGCAGCCAAAAAACCTAATGCCCAGTGATTCCTGTTGTCAACACTTGCGCTGCCAAGTCTGTCTTGTCCAATGCAGCCTGTAAAGATGGGCTTGACACCAGGTGGCTTTCATTTAGTAGCACTCTGGACTCCTCTTTAGCATCATCTGGCAGCTTGTCTGTAAACTGGAACACTGAGTCCCAGCTGGAATAATCCTAATGGGCTAAGAGGGCCTGTCGGATGGTTTGCAATCCTAAACTGCAGTCCTGAAGACAAATAAACCATTCTCCCAAATAAATCCAGCTTCTTTTGCATTTTTGTCCTGGCCTTGGTTTCTCATTCACAGCTGCCACTACCAAAGGTCTGGATGTGAATAAAAACACTCATGCCCCTGAGATGGAACTTGGGGCCTCTCCTTTGTTCTCTTGGCAGTGGGTGTCAGAGAAGAGGGAGTTTGCCAAAGAATTTTGGTGGTCTCTAATAGGCAGAATATCCACCAATCTGTGTGGATTATCCTGCACCAATTCACTCTGACTACCCGGGAGGTGGCTATCCTTTCCAGAAATTCCCAGACGATGATAAAATGTACCAGACCTGGGAAAGACTGTTCCAGAACAGTAGGGTCATGTGGTGATGATGGGGAAGTGTTGAGCAGAGGCACTAAAGTGTCGGTCTGCGCCACTGTTTGCTGAACGGCCCTAGCAGGAGGGTCAGAACCCAGAGGGATAAGATCCCTCAGTTGCTGGCTACTGGGTGTCAGTACCGAGACCAGTACCAGATGGAGAACAGCACCTTCCTGGGGATCTAGTAGAGCCGCGTCTAGGAGAAGATGACCTTGAGTCTGGAGGAACTCCCCATGGATTCCAGAAAGGCCACTGCTGTACATGACATGGTACCAAGGACGAACCTCACGGCATCCTACCTCTGCACTTGCTTCTGTCAGAGCCACACTACTTGGGTCTTGACCTGCATGAAGAGGAACGGGGAGACGCTCAAGACCTGTAATGAGATCTCAATATGTAAGACTCTGAGGAAGAGTCAGCATTCGAATGCCAAGGCAGCACAGTACCAGATGGAGTAGCTGGAGACCAACACCTGGACCAACAAGCAGTGGACGGTGCCAGAGGAAGCATCTGAGCCTTTCCTGCTGAAGGGACCATAGGTTTAGTCTGCTGCACAACAGAGCTTCCAGATGGTGTAGACAAAGGCTCAGTTCCAGACGGCGCTGAATGCGTAGGTGCCGAAGATCCCAACCAGGGCTTGCATGGCAGGAACAGTTGGTACCTGGACTTTGGCCTGCATCAGTGGAGTCCGGCACGGACAGGCACAAAAGGTCCCTGGCCGCTGCATAAACCTCAGAGATCGTTGGCACCGATATACCAGGGTGCATCACAGAGGAAGTTGATGCCATTGAAGGTCCCAGTAACGGAGTTGGCATAAGGTGCCACAATCAACGACTCTCTACTGCTAGAATGTGCTACCAGGGAGCACTTTAGCAGGAGCTGATTTAGCTCTAGCCTCGGTACCAGTCTTTTGGTGAAAGTCTGTAGGGGATGTAACCCTCGAAGAAGAGGCTCCTTCTGGCTAGAAGAGGCCAAAAATGCGGGATGGCGTCTGTTTTTATGCTGTACTGAAGAAGAAGAAGAATGGTGTCTTTGGCTCCCTTCAACGCCAGGACAGCCCCAAGTCTGGTGGCTTGCTCTGAGTCGAGTCCAAATTCCTGCATATCGTGCGGTGGGGTTCCCAATGCAGGTGCAAAGCTGCTTCCATCAGGGTGTCTCAACGTCAAACTTCCTCAACTATAGTCTTGGTCTCAGGGCCGCCCGGAGGGGGGGTGGGGGGGAAGGCAAGTGAGGCAATTTGCCCCAGGCCCCGGGCCCTGGCCCGGCGGCTGTCCAGGTCTTCCGCGGCATTTCGGCGGTGGGGGGCCCTTCAGTGCTGCCGAAGACGCGGAGCGACTGAAGGGCCCCCCGCTGCCAAAATGATGCCGAAGACCCGGACCGCCGCAGGGTGAGTACAAGCGCCGCAGCTCCCCCACTTTGCCCCAGGCCCCCTGAATCCTCTGGGCGGCCCTGCTTGGTCTTACCCCCCCAGAGATAGGGCACTGATGCCTCATGTGTCCTTCTCCCAAACATTTTAAGCATTGGGAGTGAGGCTCGCTGACTGGCCAGATTTGCTAGCGCCAGAACAGCGCTTCAATCCACGAGATACAGGCATGCCCCAGTCCAGAGCCAAAAACTCAAAGGAAAGGAAGCTAAAAACAAGGATTCTTTAGAAAACGAGTATTACTATCTAAACTACAGCTACACTGCCAGCTAAACTACCCCTCACCTTACAGATCTCAGACCGCTTTCTAAAGGGACAATGGGAAAGAATGTGAGAAGATCACATATGCGTTGACTACACACCACAGGCGGTGAGAAGGAACTGAGGGGTCAGGGCAGCCTGGCCCCTTTCTACCCTTGGCTGGCAGCACAAGCGTGCGGAGGGCGCATGCGTTGCCCCAGCAGGTCCCGTAGAGGACAAAGGTCTCCAGTGTCGGTTCCGGGCGCGCAGACACCGGAAGTGAAGGGATGTGTGCAGGCATTCAGAGGAGAAGTTTGCGACTAGAAACCCCTGGTGTTTGAACAGGAGCTCTTTGGCTCCCGGAGCGTGCAAGCCCCACCCAGTTAGTCTCTAGAGCAGGGGTCTCAAACTCAAATGACCACGAGGGCCACATGAGGACTAGTTCATTGGCCCGAGGGCCGCATTACTGACACCTCCCCTCGCCGCCCTCGGCCCCGCCCCACTCCACCCCTTCCATGAAGCCCCGCCCCTGCCCCGCCTCTTCCCTGCCCCCATTCCAACCCCTTCCCTGAAATCCCCACCCCAACTCTGCCCCCTCCCTGCCCCCAGGGGGTGCACGAGGGATGTAGGGTGTGGCGGGGGCTCAGGGCAGGGAGTTGGAGTGTGGGGTGCAGGAGGGGTGAGGGGTACAGCAGGGGGTCAGGGTGCAGCAGGGGGCTCAGGGCAGGGGGTTCAGCTGCAGGAGGAGTTCGGGGGGCAGGATCTGGCCCGGCGCGTACCGGGGGCAGGGCAGGCTCCCTGCCTGCCCGTCTGCCCTGCCCCTGCACCACTCCGGGAAGAGCTGGAACGTGGGGAAGGGGGGGGCGGAGGGGTGTGTGTTGCTGTTTCTTCAGGGCAGGGCCCCCAGCAGCTCCCATTGGCCGCGGTTCCCTGTTCCCGGCCAATGGGAGCTGCTGAGGGCGCTGCCTGAAGCAACAGCAACACACAGCCCCTCCACCCCCCCCCCCTTCCCCACATTCCAGCCTCTTCCCGGAGCGGCGCAGAGCAGGGCAGGTAGGAAGTCTGCCATGCTCCCGATGCACGTCCATCCGGAGCCGCTCTAGGTAAACACTGGGGGAGGGCGGGGGGGGCTGCGAGGGGCTCGCGGGCCACAGAAAATAACCCCGCGGGCCACGTGTTTGAGACCCCTGCTCTAGAGCCTTCCAGTTTCTGGACCCAAACTACTGGGCTAAAGGAATTTACACATTCAGACTATGGCTGCAGCATTCGTCATCTCCTTCAATCAGATACTTATTTAATGAGCTTAAGAACTACAACAGGGATGTCTGCGATCCTTCCAAGTGTCTATACCAGACTAATTGACTATGGAGCTTAAGAACTCTGCTGCTCTGCCTGCAGACTTCGCAATGTCCTAGACCCACAGCTCTCTGGATGGAGCAGTTTCCAAACCCTGCAGGCTTTATAAACTCCACAGAGACTTTGCAGAGCTCCCAGAAGTTCAAATATTCATAGTGACTAACTCCAGAATTAACTACCCAACATCTGGAGAATTGTCCTGGGCACCAGATCTCATTAAGGACAAAATTTAAAAAATACAAATTTGAACTTGCTAGACCAGGTTGATTTTAGCTTTCCAAATAACTTCAATGAGGAAAAATCCCGCTGTTCAAACTCTCCTCTCTTAAAGACGCCTTGTCTGATTAATAGCAACATTTCCTGGAAAGGTCTCTTGCACAAAGAGAGAGAGAGAGAGAGAGAGAGAGAGAAAGAACACACACACACCCCCCAGAAAGGAGCTCTTTCTGAAAAAAAGTTTTCTAACTGGAGAGGGAGGCTGTTCAAAACTGGGCTTAAACTAAAAACCGGCTACAAAAAAAACCCATGGTCCACACACATTTCATCAGCCACTGTTAGATGATCGTCTGCAGTACTAAGATGCGGCAGGAAGGGCTGAAATTCCTAGTTAGCGTGTAAACCCTAAACGTTAGCTGAACATGGCATTTGCTACGTACTTAACGTTGGACTCTATTTACAAAGGGAAAGGGAACCAAACGGAAGCAGCGAGCCAGGCTCGGTGTGTCCTCTGGGACAGTGTTGCTAGCACCGATGCTAGCAGCACGGGGTGATGTACAACGTCTATGCACAGTACCATTCCACCAATGTCTGTTTGCTGGGCCCAGTTCAGTCTTGGAGTACAGCTATGCAGGCAATGCCAAGGGGAAGCCGGATAAAAGCTAAACCATTTCTCTTACCCCTCTGAAATCAACAGCAGCTGATGGTCAGTGTTCCGGGGAACACCTTGGGACTGGAAGCTACAGGCTACAAACAGCAAGGCCCATTCAGTGGTGGAACCAAATGAGACAAGGAACACAGGGAGGGTGGATAAGAGTACCTAATCCTGTCCCTGGCCAAACACCCAATGCCCCTGGAGCCAGGCCTACCTAGTCCCAGATGGCACTGCATTAGGATTATGACCTGTGTCAGCTGCATTTTGGAGGCTGGCAGAGCATGTGCTGCAGATTTATAACACACATCCCCGATTATGGACCCACACTCACCCCCTAGGTCAAAGCAGTCTGAATTATTCTTAAGAATATTAATGTACCTTCCCCATAATAGCCCCACACAGTCACCTTCTAAATGTACTTGCCAGCTGATGCGGCACTGTTTGTGCATTCATAACATTCTTCTCGCCTGCAATAATTGTGTTTGCTGCAGGATGGTCTCAGATGGGAATTTAATGAGGGGCCTGTGTAAACACGCTGGAACCGATGGATACGGACGTCCACTGGTAGTTGCTGCTGCTTGCTATCTTTATTCATGTCTTTTTAAAAAGTGCTTTTACCTTGACTCGAGCTTCTTCTCCCCCCCCCGTATCTCAACAACTAATTCAGAATGATTTCTCAAGGAGCTGGTTGCTTTCTGTAGTGGCGGGATTGTTTGGGGCTAAGTAAATGTGTGACTAAGTTATTCCAGGTAAGAGCAACAGATTTGCCTTTATTCTGCGGTTTACGGGGCTGTCTCAGCCTGGGTGAAATTCACCACTGCGCATAGATGCAACAGAAGGCCAATGGACCATTTACGACCCACTTCAGCCGTGGATCATTGGCCAGGTGAAATAAGAGTGGGGCACAGACTATGTACTGGTCCCCTCTGCGCAGTGGTGAATTTCACCCTCATTGCACCAGAGGACGCTTCAGCGATGTTTGCAATTGACTCCCAATTGCCGGACTGGCTTCACGTCCCTGTTTTATCTGTCCTTGGTGTTTCGAAATTGGCTTTTTGTCTCCAGCTCCAGATTTGGCTTTGGTGGTTGGCACAATGTTTTGTGACAATTCTCCCCACTGTGCAGCTCTTTGTAGTTGATCAGGCAGATTAGGAAAGCTGTCTGAGAGGGGGAAATTCATTTCTTTGACAATTTCTTGGCACACTGAACATCTCAACAATATATGCTCAGACCTAGGAGCTTCTGGAAAGCCCCACCTGCCCGAAAAACGTTATTTTGGCCTGAGGTGCATTATGTGATTTCCCTGCCTGCCCCCCACCCCTCATTCCAGAGGATAAATTCACAGCCAGCCCTCAGTCACTTACACATACAGATCCATAGGAAACTCTTTCATCATGTGTGTTACGATGAACTCCACCATCAGATCTAGGAGACCGGGGAGGAAAATGACAAAATAAATGTAAAACTAGTTACAGTAAACACCTGGCAGACAACAACAACAAGCATATCCAACTATCCAGGCCCCCACTATGCCCCCAGACAGCAATCCTGGTTAGAAGCAAGAGAGAGAATTTACTAAGAGCTGTATCTGAATTAGGCATCTCTTCTGAAAGCCCAGGACAAAGCTACTGAGAGTTGCCTGGCATTTGAATGCGATGCGCTCCGAGACAGGCTTCCTCCACGCACTTTCCCCCCACTGTTTAAATAAAAAACACATCACTAATTTTGATGCATAGAATTGCGCTCGTATTTCAAACCTTGGCACCAGCAGGAAATACATTTTAGAACACTGTTGTCACCAGAGGCCAGATATGTTTTACAGCTTGGTTTTCCGAGACGATAACGTAGAGGACATCCATATAGCTACAGAATCGGCTCTGAAGCAAAGTAAATCCAGTCTTGCCTCAAGAATGACTGAAGTCTTCTACATACTACTCAGTTTTAATCTTGGTCAGTTTCACAAGGGGTACATTTAAGTGACCTCAGTGCTAGAACAGCAAGAGAGACAGGCAAAACAGCCCTCCAGCTAGTCACATTCAGCCCCGTTTGTCTGTTCCAGGCAGGACAGGTGCCCAGCAGTCACTTCCACCACCAAACATCTGTTTCTTTCCCATCCGCTTTTTCTCAGCTCAGTCACCCAGAGACTGCTCGTTCCCAGGCATCACCTTCCCCACCTCAACGTTTCAATGGACTAGCCAACGAACATTCCATTACTGACATTCGTTCAGCAATGGAAGCAAGGTGTCCAATGTCTTTTGGAAAACCTGACAGTGAATGTGGCTTTCCACAGATCTACAAGATCATAGAATCATAGACTATCAGGGTTGGAAGGGACCTCAGGAGGTATCTAGTCCAACCCCCTGCTCAAAGCAGGACCAATCCCCAGACAGATTTTTGCCCCAGATCCCTAAATGGCCCCCTCAAGGATTGAACTCACAACCCTGGGTTTAGCAGGCCAATGCTCAAACCACTGAGATATCCCTCCCGCAGCACGTTACATGGCACCGATCCTCCTACCTAATCTCACTAGAGGAAAGTGAGGGGGTGGGATGAAATGCACCCTGCTGAGAACTGAAATTCCTTGCACAGGTAATAGGTAGCCAGGAAACTCCCCCAAACGAAGCTGATTTCCACCTCGTCACAGGAGATGGGTCGATTCTGGAAGGTCCCACCCCAGCAATACTCACCTAGGACTGCACACACCAGGGGGCGGCAGGGCAGGTTCTTGTCTGCGGCTTTCTTCCTGTGTCTCATTGGCTTCAAACACACAAAGAAGAAAGGAAGTCAGCAGATGCCTGCGTGGCACCCAGCGCATTATCGCCTGCTTCCCATACAAATAAAACCACTGCCACAGGCTCGCCTGTAGTTTTGGGCTCTTCCATTTCTGCCACCTTGGCTCTACGGCTGTCGCACCAGGGCACAGAGGGTCCCCGCTCACCAGGGAGACAGCAGCTGGTGCTTTGGTTACTTTGATTCTGAGCTGTGTAACTGGAGGGCACTGTCGCACCAGGGCACAGTGCTCTCCCTTATGTTCCCCTGACCCAGAAGTTTGTTTTTCGCACTCTCAGTGACTAGCTCCTCCATCGGCTCTAAAAGATGATTCCCGTTCCATGCTTGCTGCTGAGAAAGAAGGGTTAACAGCTTGGGGCTACGCTTGCTTTAAAAACAAAGGGCTTGAGTCTGTCCTGGAGTGGTCACACCACCATCTCCCAGGCCGCCAATGGGGGAAAACGCCCCTGGAGAGCAATTCCAGTGGTGGAATGACCACCTCGCAGGTCGGAGGTGTGGAGCCTGCAGCCAAGTCCCACTGAGGGAGCATGCACAAATTCACAACATCCTCTGGGCTGCCTCTACAGGCTGGGCTCCTGTGGACCCTTGGATGCAAATGAAAGCTGCCTTCCTGCAGCAGAACCCTTGGGGCAAGACAGTGGTAAAAACACCACCCCCCCTACTTGAGGGGCGAATCACCCATCTGAAAGGGGGGTGAATTGAGCTCAAAGAAGTTGGGGTCCACTACAACCTGTACATCAATGTATCACATGGGGCCTAACATTTGCTGAAGCTTAAGGCAGATTGCTCCCCAGAATGCACTAACGCCTCCGGTCCCCCAGACCTCCCATTATCCTCTCCCTGGCTACCCTGGGCAGACGCAGCTCAAAAGCCAGCCCTCACCCAGCTCCTTGAGCGAGCCAGCAAGAAGCCAGGCTGCTTGCTCCCCAGCACAGCTCATTCCCTTGACGAGGAGTCTCGAGCCATGACGGTGTTTCCTCCCCACACCCCCACCAGCAGGGCTGGCTGGGTCCTCCCGTGCGCTGGCCCCAGGCGGGGTGTCTGTGACACAATACACAACCAGCTGAGGACCCAAAACCTTGGCTTCCGCCGCCCCAAGGAGAGAGGAAGGAACCTGCTGTGGAGGACTCACCATCCTGTGCAGGTTTACTCGAAAATTCACGTTGTCATCATGCAAAAAAGCATTAGCGTATTGATCCTATTGGAGAGAGCAAAGCCTGAGGTGAGAAACATCTACTGCAGCAACCCCCCTGCCAAAGCCCACGTGCCCCAGGGCAAAATTGGCAGCTGCAGGCAACTCAAGGGTTAGAAAGTTGCCCATCAGCAGGACGAGGCACTTGCCTGAGTCTTCTCTTCCCTGTTCCCCAGTTATGCCTCTAGTCAGACAACCCAAGCGACTCCACTTGCACAAACGCCTGCACCACAGTCGTTTATTTCCCATGCCTTTCTTTGCTCGCCCGCGTCGCGGACTCCACGTGCGACAGCGCCAAGCGCATTTTAATGTGGGCTGTAAAATGCCCAAGGAGGTTCTCCCGCCTGCCTCTTTCCTCGTCCTCATGACAGAGCGAAGAGGAAGGTTTATAGTGGCAGCTTGATGGACCCATCACGGCAGAAGTTATTGCAGCACAAGCTGCTAGTAGGTAGCGCAGCAGCTCCAATCCTCAGGCAAATCTCATTCCCAAATCCACACTAAATCAAACGGCGTTCCGTCTAATACACAGCCAAGTGTGGTCATAAATATCCTCTCCATTTAATACCAGGGTCAAACATGCCTTTGCTAGACACAGGCGATATTTCTCTTCTCCCTTTGTCTGCATGCCTTTCTGATGAGCTCAGGTGCTAAGAATAGCTAATTACTAGCATCTGTAATGAAATCAGAGTTCACTAGCTCTTCTGCAGCACCTTGAACAAATACTTGATGAACCATGACTTTAAAAGCAGAGCACTTGGCGCCGTAATGCTGACTTTGCTGCTCTGAAGCAGTGACACGCAGACCTCCGTGGTTTGGGAGCCAAATTAGCGATCAATATTATGCAAAAGAGCCACAGGAGTGGGACTTCATTTCATTTACTAGAGCGCTATTAGAACATAAGAACGGCCAGACTGGATCAGACCAAAGGTCTATCTAGCCCAGTCTCCTGTCTTCCGACTGTGGCCAATGCCAGGTGCCCCAGAGGGAACAAACAGGTAATCATCCAGTGGTCCACCATTGTACTATTCCTACTCCTATTTAAACAGTGTGACAGAGAAATATTTAGTTTATCTATATTATTCTTATCAGCTACAACTGGTTAATAACACAGTAAAAGCCGATTGGTTAATAATTACATCGCACAGTGTTTTCCTATCATGTGCTGCAAAGAGCCGCAGGAGACACATTAAAGAGCCACTTGCGAGCCTCAGTGAGAGGGTCACTGCTCTAAATGGAAGGTTTTTACTTGTGTGCAACCAAAACTCTTTTCCAGTGGGGACCTGACCCCTTGGCTCCCCACCTGAGCAGTCTGCCCAGCAGGCTGACAACACCCACCTCCTTCAAGGCAGGAGAGGGACAACGTGGTCCCCGTCTGTGGAGGCCATGGCCACTCCCTCCAATGCTAGCCCCTGATCCCTCTCAGGATGTGGGATGGCTGAAGAGCAGCACCATCTGCTTAGCATGAACAATGCAGAGTCAGGTGTCATCAGGGTCTGGAACAGCTCAAGGTGCCCCCTAGTGACCTAACACATGCGCTAAATGAAAGGGGAACAGGTCTGAGTTCAGCGTGCTCCCCATGTGTGACACAAGAAGCTGACGCTCCCTGAAATGAGGCAACACTCTGCTAGTTTAGGCTCAGTGCTAACAGTAGTAGTGCTGGACTTCACAGCAAAGGATTAAACCATCTCTAGCAGGGTCTCCATCTCCCAACCCCCCTGCAGTTCTCCAGTGCCCAAGCAACAGGAAGCGAGGGGAAGGGGCACCCGCGTGGAGCCAGGTTGCCACAGGAGACAGATGGCCGTGTGCTGATGAGATGGGGTCATGCACAAGACCTACCTCTGCTATGCACGTCAGGATAATCAGACAGAGCTTGCCGCTGTGGAGCCGGTGTTCGTCTGCAAATGAACAAAAACAAGCCTACGTGAGCCACTAGGCCTTGTTGTGCCGACAGGTCGGCGTGTGGACTCAGAGCAGAAAGACCCTCCTTGGTGGAAACAGGACAAGAGGCCGAGTATCAAACTTCACACACCTACTCACCCACCCTGGGAGAGTAAATAGTCTCACCGTGGCCCTAAAGCCATCACCCCAGCAGCCGGACCACTACACCCCACTGAGCTATCGGGAGTCTCCGCTAACAACGCAATGTCAGACTTGATCGCTCCCTCAGCACAGGCTCTCTCAGCAGTGTGATAGAATACACCCTGCAGTCACACCCTACTCACCAGTGTTATGATCTTGAGACAAAGTGTGCCTTGTAAGGTAACATTTGAAAACTCAATTTTTTGGTCAGTATTGTCCTGAGGAAATATGTGACAACACTGTATGTGAAGTGATAAGAGTCCCCTGTATGGTGTTATTAACACATGTTCCAAACCCCACAGCCCTGCTCCAACAGAAGTCAGCAAACAGGTCTGTCCTCGACAAAGGAACATGTGCTCTGCTTAACTTGCATTTAAGCAGTAAACAGAGTCATCAAGCAGGGAGGGAAACAAAGGAACCTCAACCAGGTGAAAAAAGGCAGCAGGGAACATCCTTCTGCATAGATTCCGTCTCCTAGTGCCCAACTAGAAATGTTTTTCAAGAGGGGCACTGAAACTATAAACAGGAGGAAAAAACACCCAACGGCACCCCTCTCTCCTCCTGCCCATCGTATTCACTGCACCTGAAGGAACACAGGAAGCATTCATTGGACTCTGGGGGAGGGGTCCTGACCTACAGGGTTCGGTCAGTAAGACTGCCGAAAGCACATGGTTAGAAATTTTGCTTGAATCTAGTCTAGTTTGTTAAATTAGGCATTAGTAAACATCTTGTCTTTATTTCCCTTGTAACCATTTCTGACTTTTATGCCTCATTACCTGTACTCATGTAAAATCTCTTTGTAATTAATAAACTTGTTTTACTGTTTTATCTAATCTAGCGTGTTTAAGCTGAAGGGTCTGAATCATTATAAACAGGCATATTATTCCCTTTAAGGAATAACAGACGTAAAATATTTTGTTCTCTCCAGGAGAGGGTTGGGCAGTGCAGGACATACATTGGGGGGGGGGGGGGGGGGGGGGGAATGGGGGGCGGGGGGGGTGTTGGGATCACCCTGCAGTATAATCAAGGCTGGTGAGAGCCAGAGTGTAACCCAAGTGTGGCTGGCAGACTGCAGTTACACACACGCACACACACACACACACACACACACACACACACGCACGCACGCTTGCATGCTAGGAGGCTGTCTGTAAGCAGCCTAGGTGGGAACTACTGCAGCAAGGCACTGAAAGGTGCCCAAGGGGGTGACACAGATGCTCATTAGTCTGGATTGCACCCTGGTACGTCAGGGAGGGGTCTCTCTCTGGCTCACCTGTTTGCCTTTCCCAAACATTCGGGATGCAGAGCTTCGCCCCTGGCCAACACTCCCGGTGAAAAGCCCTTCCTCGAGCACCACAACTGCCCTTCCATCAGCTCTCCAAGGGAGATCGGCTTTGTTGCTTACGCCAGCCGGTACATTACGCAGAAGACGGGCAGGGCAGTAGTGCACTGAGCGCAGTGCTGATAGACAAAGGCCTGAGCTCTATCCCCAGCAGTCACAGACTCAGGGGTGCCGAGAGTCTTGCCCCAGGTGCAGAATGATGGCTAGAAAGCCTGGGAGGGCTTATTTTTAATGTTAAGGGCTCCCCCACACCCACCACTTGTTTTTCACCTTAGAAATTCAGGCCCTGTCTGCCCTGGAAGACTCTGGCAGAGTTATCCGATCATAAATCTGAAGGAACTGATTGAGTGGGGAAGCAATTTTTATTCAAACTGTTTAAAATTCTGCTTTTATTTTGTTTTCCATTATCACTGATCGAATAATTGAGAACCACGGGGGAGAAAGGAATCCCCGTTCGGAGTCTATGCCCCGGCCTGCAAAGACAGCTCCCAAGCCACAGTTCTGAGACCTCCAACAAACCCTCCAGAACACCAGGGAAGACCAGACTGGACATTCTGTCTGGTTTTAAAGTAACACACAAGAAGAAAGAGATTTTGAAAACACAGGCCGCCTTCATACAGCAGAAAAGGGCGTTAAGCCCCACACACCCCAAAAGCCTTTGGTGACTGCATTCAGGACACTGCATACAAACATCCTGCACTGAGTTTGCAAGCAGATCTGACTCCGGACTGCTCACTCTGCTCTATATCAGTGCTGGGACATGTGATTATTAAAGGGAAAATAAGCCCCAGAGGGTGTGAATTTTAACCTGCTGTATTGAGTAAACGTAGGGGCGCACCTGGGGTGCAGCGGCATATTTCCCTACTGCAGCCAGACTGTTTTCAAAAGAAGGGAAAAGTTTCTCTCTTCAGGAAGGAGGAGCAGTGGCCTTCGGGAACTCCAATACACGAGAGCCTTGTTATCTTTCTATTGCAAGATCTCACGGCTTATTTCGAAGGTGCTGCTTCCACGTCTCTTCTCCAGGGATTAGTGTGTGGCAGGAACACTTTCAGCCTAAGTACTCATGCGTTCTCCTGCTCAGGTTGTGAATGGCTGGTCGTTTCTAGACACGAGCTATGGGCGAGGTGGGCTGCTATTCATAACAATCCTTTGCATCTTCCAGCAGAGGATCTGAAAGCCCTTTACAAACACCCAGTACAGGAGGGAAACATCCCAGCTCCCGTAGGATGTTCGTCAATCTGAGCCCCAGTTTACAAATGGTCCCTCTCAAGCCTCCTGTGACTATGGGGTCTGGCAGAGAGGGGTTAATTAGACGGAATTCTGATCGAATGGATGGGTTTTAAATTACACCTTCCAGGGCAGGGGTGGAACAACTGTGCGGGCCTGGAGTCAGAGCAAGTGGACATCACCCCGAGAGAGAAGTGATCCTGTAGCATCACTGGTTCTCTCCTTTCCCATCCCTCCATGGGATATTGGCCTTAAATGCTTCCTCTTCTCATCAAACGAATGGTCAAGGGAAGGTCACTTGGGAGCCCCTATTTACCCACTCAGAAAAGAGAACCAAGGGATACACCCAAAGAAATTAAAAGGCTCCACGTTTTAAATGATCAGGTTGTGGAGCTCATTGTCACAGGCCACTCTCATGGCAAAGAGCTTCACGGGATTAGCCACTGGGGCAGCCCACAGCAGCAAGCCTTCCAGCCTGGCGCACAGAGCCAGGCCCGCGCTAGCGGGTTCAAAATAGCCACGGGGACATTGCAGCTCGGGCTCTCGACGCCACCCTCCCGCCTGAGCCCAACACCTGCACAGCTATTCTGAGCACAAGCCCCGCAAGCCCAAATCCGGTGAGCCAGGCTGGGAAACGCACTGTGTGGGCTGCACAGACGTACCCTACACAAACCTCAAACATGGGTACCCAAGCTAGGGGGAAAACATATAAAGGGACACCAGCCTCCATCCATCAGGACAAACCAGCCATGGGCTGCCTGGGTTTAGGAAGAAATCCCCTCCACAGACGTATGTTGTACAGTGCTGAGTACTTAGTCAGCGCTCAAATAATACATAACAGCACTATTATTTGTTTCAGAGTAGCAGCCGTGTTAGTCTGTATCCGCAAAAAGAACAGGAGTACTTGTGGCACCTTAGAGACTAACAAATTTATTTGAGCATAAGCTTTCGTGGGCTACAACCCACTTCTGTAGCCCACGAAAGCTTATGCTCTAATAAATTTGTTAGTCTCTAAGGTGCCACAAGTACTCCTGTACTATTATTTGTGGGGATCTACTTATCTTCATCCAGTGTAAAACTGGACAGACAACAGCGCGTTTGCAACAGGCTGAAATTTGGCACAAAAAAGGTGTTACTGCACATGTGCAGTAACTGCACTCCAAAGTGTAAAAAGTCAGGAAACACAAAGCAAAGAGTGTAAACATACCACATGGCCCAGCAGCATCTAAATCTAACTACAACGGGGAATCACTGAAGCCCCCTTTACTAATTCAAGTGCCCCTCCTATCACCCATAGGTGCTGAAGGGCACACAACGTTTCACACCTGGAGCTGAGTTCGGATTCCTGTGTCAGTCCCTTACAGTTCTTAAAAATCCACCTCTGTGGGGTGTGAATTCTCCTCCCCTCCCATAGAGTTTGGAATTTGATCCGCTTATGCCTCCTAGAGAGGGCCTTGCTGAGACTCCCTCGGTTAATATGCACTACAATTTTCCCCTTCTATATTTGGCTTCCCTCCCTCCAGCACTAGGTCTCCCCAAGATCTACGTAATTACCACCTGGCAAGGAGAAATCAGTTCATTCTCTCAAGGTACAGAGCGTTCACAGGGAGACCAGGTAGCTTCTGTATGAGTTACGCTAACACCGCCCCACTGCCTGGACCCACGGCTCCCTCGACAATAGGATCTGGTTACCTTTTGTGTCCTGCATGACAATTGAGCTGTACTTTAAGAAGGTTATCAGCAGGTTGCTGGTCTGCACATCGGCATCCAAAGGCAGCTCTGCAGAGCTTATAACTGGAATAAAGCAGAAGAAACGCATTTATCCTCTGCATGTCACATACAATAAGCAAGGGGAGGATACTCAAGGAACTTGATTCTCAGACGTTAGGGTCTGGGTGTAATGAACACATTTGTACATAAGAACAGCCATACTTCATCAGACCAAAGTATCCTGTCTTCTGACTGTGGCCAATGCCAGGTGCCCCAGAGGGAATGAACAGAACAGGGCAGTTATTGAGTGATCCATCCCCTGTCACCCATTCCCAGCTTCTGGCAAACAGAGGCTAGGGACATCATCCCTGCCCATCCTGGCTAATAGCCATTGATGGACTTATCCTCCAGGAACTTATCTAGTTCTTTTTTGAACCCTGTTATAGTCTTGGCCTTCACAACATCCTCTGGCAAGGAGTTCCACTGGTTGACTGTGCATTGTGTGAAAAAATACTTCCTTTTGTTTGTTTTAAACCTGCTGCCTATTAATTTCATTGGGTGACCCCCTAGTTCTTGTGTTATGAGAAGGAGTAAATAACACTTCCTTATTTACTTTCTCCACACCAGTCATGATTTTATAGACCTCAATCATATCCGGCCCCCCCCCTTAGTCGTCCCTTTTCCAAGCTGAAAAGTCCCCATCTTTTTAAACTCTCCTCATATGGAAGCTGTCCCATGCCCCTAATCATTTTTGTCACCCTTTTCTGAACCTTTTCCAATATAATTTTTTTGAAATGGGGTAACTACATCTGCACGCAAAATTCAAGATATGGGCGTGCCGTGGATTTATATAGAGGCAATATGGTATTTTCTGTCTTATGATCTATCCCTTTCTTAATGATCCCAACATTCTGTTTGCTTTTTTGACTGCCGCTGCACAGTGAGTGGATGTTTTCAGAGAACTACCCACAATGACTCCAAGATCTCTTGCTGGAGTGGTAACAGCTAATTTAGACCCCATCATTGTGTATGTACAGTTGGGGTTATGTTTTCCAATGTGCATCACTTTGCATTTATCAACACTGTAGAGATCATCTGACCTCCCACTCCCCAGTCAGAGGTCTTGTGTCACAGTGAGTAGGGAACAGCTCCTTCCAGAGCCCACCGCTCCTGCTCCAAGCTCTGGCTAAGGGTCCCAGCTCTCCCCTCCTCCAGACCCCACAAGTGCAGATGACGCTCCTGCTTTGGCACTTCAGCGCCTACCAACCCCGGAGGCGACAGGTGACTAATTCCAGCAGTCTGTGCAGATGAGGCTTACATCGATTTCATTTGGAAAGGAACGTGCCCGGGAAAGGCCCTGCTGAGTTTCAATAATAGGATTTGAGCCCTTAAGAAACAACTGTGAAGAGGTAAGTGCCAATTGCATGCCAGGCTCCCTCCCTTTTCTCTCTGGGACATTGAAAACTGCCCCCTTCTCCTGAAGGAACAGTCCAGAGCTGAAAAGCTGCAGCACAGAGAGAGGTGCTGCGTGACCAAGGAGCTTTGCTGTAGGTCAACACAAAGATTTTTTTTTTAAATGCCCACCAATGTTTCCCAAACTAAAGCTTTACGGGCAGCAGCTCTACAGATTTACAGCAGGCAGAAGCCAAGGCGATCACGGTTTATGCTAGCGAAACTAAACAGCCGCATGGAGACATCTGCCCCTAGCTGCATCAGGCCGGGAGGGGGTGAGCATTTCTGACACAGACCTTGCTCCCGTCCCCCATGCCTCTGACACCTCAACACGAGACACGTCTGCAGTGTGCTCCGCAGGTGGCAGCCAGTTACCCGGCTAACTGCCCTCCCCTCAGGTCCCAGGCCCCAGTCACCTCGGTTTGGGGCTGGACTCAGGCGGTTCTCTTGCTCTGCAGCACCCTGTGATCAGCCATGCTCATCTCAGCAGGTCTGAGTGGCTACGTCTACGCTGCAGTCGGAGGTGCGATTCCCAGCGCAGGAAGACATGCGTGCGCTAGCTTGGATTGAGCTAGCATGCTACAAATAGCCGGGTGAGCAGTGAGCTGGCCACCCCAGTACAATCCCATTCGAGAGCCTAGGTACACACGAGGGTGGCTAGGCTCAGCTAGGCCGCCAGGGCCACACTGCTATTGGTAGTATGCTGCGCGGCCAGCACTGCCCCCAGGAGCAGTGACCAGCGGTTAGCACAGGGGCCAAACAGCCTGCTCCCAGCAAAGCATTATTTATCTAGAGCCAGGGCATTTCAGGTCTTAAACCAAGAGCTGCGGAAGACCCAACTAGCTTAAGCTGTCTCCACAGCGTCTGTCGGCCTGTCCCTCTGGGCAGCTCCTGGCAACTGACCATTCCCCGTCTCGCTCCTGAAAAGGGTTTAGTTAGTTCCTGCCTGGCAAAGCAGATGTGTCCTTTGGGGCTGGCGCCATTGCCCTGCAATTGCCCCCAGTGTTTGTTGGGAGGCTGCTTCCCTATTGCCCCTTATGCTGCTCTCCTGCTTTGCTCGTCCGACAGCTCCCCCCGAACGAAAGCACTATGCGTGCCCTTCCCCCGCACACGTAGCCAGGCTCTCTCGACAACCAGGGGCCATGTCTGTTTCGCAGCTCCACGGCCATCACAGCGGCTACCCCTTACATCAGCCGGGGAACCAACGCTGGTGCAGGACCTGGCAGCCTGTTTGCTAAGCCGCACACGATGACATTACCGCTCTGTGATCTGCACTGGCTGCCTGGGGGCTTCCAGCTGGAGTTCAAGGTGCTGTTTTAGACCAATTAAAGTCCTAAATAGCTTGAGACCTGCTTACCTGCGGGACCCCTTTTTTCAGCTCATACAGCCATAGACCTGGTCTCATTAGAGGCATGAGCTGGACCCACTTTTGGATGGGAGAAGGAGCTGCTAGCAGCTCCAAGGGGCGCTCGTCTCTGGAATCCACGCCCTCTTTTCCATCTGCCTGCAGAGCAAGCACTCAGCCTATCTACCCACCTGGCCTTTGGGGGAGAGAAAAGTAGCTGGAGCTTGCACGAGGATTTGGGGTGAGAAGAGGCTGCTGGTTTGATCCTTTAGGTGACTGTATTTTTAATTTATGTAAAATGCACTTGGAGGCTGGGACAGGAGCCTTTACATCAATAAATCTAAATAAATACACAGACCGCCTCTCCCTGTTCAAAGTGCCTGTTAAACCCCGCGGCGAGATAAGTAAGGGTTAGAGCTCGGAGGAGCAACCAGGCACGGAAGGGGGAAGGGACTTATCCAGAAATAGAACCCAGGCGCCCAGAGCCAAGGGCCTCTGCTCCAAGTACCGAACAGCAGAGCTTCTCTAGCGACTGTCCCCAAGCACTGCAGCACCCGGTCCTTAGGAGACCAGTGATCCGTGCCCAGCAACAGGGAACTGAACTCACGAGAAAGTTCCAGCCCCAATTCTGATGTCTGGCTCTGCGCCTCTAAGTCAGATACCTTCAGATATTTTCATTTTTAAAAGCCATCTAACATTCCAGTATGTGTAAGGCAGGAAATAAGGGGATCAAAACCGGCACTGACATGCAGAGGGGCCCAAACAGTAGTGGGGGTTACATGCAGCTCATGGAGGTCTATGTGCTCATCTCTAATACAAAGCTGCAGTCCACAGAGGTGACGGGGCCAAGCAGCCAATGGGGCCTGGCAGTTTGAATCAAACTGGAGTAGTGCAGGATGGGGCCTTCAGTTTCTGGGGGCTGCACTTCTGCAGGGTCTGCAAGCTGCTCCATTTAATGCAGAGGCTCCTGACATGTTGCTAACGTGACTCTCAAACTGCAAAGTCCATGCACCCCTCTGCTATGGGACTGGAAACTTTCTTACCCCCAACATTCTGAATTGCTCATGAAGATTTAGCCAAGGTCGGCAATATGCGTTCACATCCATAATGGCTCCTACCGGAGCCGCTATGATGTACGCTGTTGATGAATATTAAACAGTAAGCAAATCAGCATTTAGATACCATGGTGACAGGCACCTTAGATTTGTATATTACGGATGCACAGTTCACAGCAAACAAACAGTCTTATGAAAAAAAAAAATCACTCTGCAGAACCCAGCACTGCTGAACCCAGTTAACCCTACAGCTGTAGCTTTTTTATGAAGGCATAGGGTTTTATTTTGAAATGTTAAAGGGCTTAATTCACGTTACAGGCTAACAGCCGGAGGAATTTCAATGCGGAACACGAGCCTGTTTTTAAACCCAAGTTGCACAGAAGAGTGCCTGGAACCCATACATGGATTTTTCCATGCTTTGTATCTTGAAAATAGCTTGGCTTTTTTTTTTTTTTTTTTTTAAATGCACCAGAAAGAAAAAAAGCCATCCACTCTAAAGCTGAAATGTCTTGTGCTAACTCTAAGCCAAGAGCAAATTTTACAGCTGAATTGCAAATCCTGCAAAATGAGAGGAATTCTGACGTAGCTGGGGAGCAGCACAGTAATTTAACCAAACCTAGGCTCCAGCGCTTGGCGTCGCAGAGAGGCTGGATCAGAGATAAGACAACAGGGAATGTAAATGAAAAATGCCTCTCAACATGATCCCTGCAAGTTAAGATCAACTCCCTTTTCTTAAGCTTAATAACCCTCCAAGCAGTAGGGAGCCGCCAGTGAAGGCTGAGCGCAGTGTCTGTTCAAAGTGGGCTGACTTCTTTCGCTAAATGAAGAAAAAAAAAAAAGGAGCTAGTTGTAGGTAAGCACAATCCTGTCGGTTGTGTAATAAAGTGCGTGGGTGGATACATTAGCAACGAACAGTCTGAAAGGAAGCGTACGAAGCGCCTGGCCCGCTGCATCACACAAAACACATACACGGGGAGGCTCGAGACATCTTTTTTTTAAACTGAAGCTTTTGATATCCATGGTAACCAGGCAGAATTCATCCTTTTGGAGAAGAATAGTCGTCAGCCGGGATATCAAATGACCTGAACAGCAGATACAAGAGGGTAACCCATGCTGCTCTCACTTCAAGACATTGCCAAATTGCGCTCTGTTCAAACAGACTCCATTCTTCTGTGAACTGCTTTCTTCAGACACTGACGGTGTAGTGCTGCTGGATTTCGCAGAGTGGGTTAAGTCTACACGATCTCAGATAAAGAGCTGGTCTATACAGCTCTCGTATGCATTATGCACACATTAAAGTCTCTTGTTTAGAACCACCAGGCTCCCAGATCTCAGTTTAAGCCGTCATTTAAAAAGCCGGTCTGAAGAATGGGCAGAGGCAATAGAGAACTAGCTCCTGCTTCTCAAATAGCTTGGATTCAAATCCTAGGTTAATTTCCAGCTGGAAACAAGTTCATTAGTGACAAGTAGGCGCCCACTGTGACTAACTGCCTGGGAGATGAGCTCCACCGAAACCTCCTAAACATCAGACATGTCCATAAACAAAGCCCTTAAAAAAAAAACATTAATTGGGTGGCTGCATCCGTGTGGAGACACACTGGGACAGGAGGGCTGTGTCAGTCCCCTTCTAGCAAGATGTGGCTTTAGCTATGGCTTTGGGAAAGATGCCAGCAGTTCCTCTGGGCAGCGTACACAAGAGCAGAGAGTCGGTGTGATTCTTCTTCTAAGTAGCAGAAATAAAAAGCCATCGAACGTGTCATCTGGTTCTGCTTAACAAACCAGGCCTCCCAGGAAGACAGGAAATCTCTCTCCAGATAGAATGGGTTAGCTGCCACCTTGAAAAACTGCTTTGCCATTTATTTTATGGTTCATTTTAAATGCTAACCCCCAAAAGAGGATTAAACATCTCACCGTCTGAAGAAGGCGGAGTGGTCCCGAGTGGAGTGACTGGCGTTGTTGGAATTGGGCTTATCGGCACTGTCACCAACCCCATTTCTGGATGGCTCTGAAGCAAAAACACATGATCTCAAAACACACACATTTTATACACCACAGTAATGTGGAGCAACACCCACAAGGTGTATTACCCCAGATGAGACAGGCTGCAGATGTATTGGCAGACACCAGAGCTCAAGGCAGCAGGCTTTCAACCACCACCCTGAGCAGCATGGGGGGATAGATGGCCCAGCGGTTTGGGCACTAGCCTCGGAGTTGGGAGACGTGGGTTCAAATCTCTGCTCCACCACAACCTGCCTGTGCGACCATGGGCAAGTCACTTAGCCTCTCTGCATCCATTCCCCAAGCTGGGACATATGGGAGACCAGATGACCTGGTGGTCCCTGCTGGCCTTAATCCCTGTGACTGTGTGTGCAGTGGGGAAAGGAGCACTGCCCTGCCTCACAAGGGGTGAGAGGATTGTAAGGGACCCAGATACCACAGTGATGGGGAAAAGACACAAACCCATCCACTCCTCTTAGACCTTCTGGTCACTCCTCCCCAGGTGTTTTCAGAATGACCCTGGAATGTTTAATACCTGCCCTTCCAATCCTGCTCTGCCCTTTTAAAATGGGATTCTCATTTGTTTCTTGGGTTCCCATTTTAAGACAACGGCAATTGACTATGTTCCTGCCCCGCTGAAAAGCGCGAGGGTTCAATAGAAGACAGCACTATGGAAACATCATCGATCTGTTCTGCTTCCTTCAATTGCCTTTTCCCCCCAGCTCATCTTCACTAACTGCTCCAGGCCTAATTACTGCTTGAACCTGATTCGCAACAGGTGTCTGTTTATTTCAGTCAGCTGGTAGAACTGGGGAGATTGGACATGAGCAACCTATTCTGTTCTAATCCGGCTGTGACGTAATCAAGACAGTTTCATATCGTGTCTTACATACAGACGCATCTCACAATGCTTAATACAATGTGCGGTATACGAAGGATTTGAAAGTTAGGGACCGTGCTGGAGAACTACTAGACGGATGTAAACCCACACATTTTATGGGAAGCATGGGCACTTGCTACCACTCGAAGTCCAATCTAGGAAATATAGCTTTAAAATATATTTTCCATTGAAAATATGTTTTCTCCCATGGAATAAAACCAAGGGATTCCCCCCCCCCCCAAAAAATAATTCAGCTGTCAGCCAAGGTATATAGCGCCACCTAGCAGCAAGAGATTAGTATGAGCAGAGTACTAGGGGCTACAAGGACAATGTGGATCTAAGTTTAGCCATGCCCCATGCCATGCCTAGGTATTAGTGGTTGGAGATTCCTGCAATACTGGGGCAGGTAGAGAATGCGATTTGAGCCATACGTTTCTTCCGTTATTTTTGGGGAGCTTTAAGGCAAGTCATGCCCTACTTCGGACAAGGGTTATTGACAATCCACCCAATGGCTTCATTAGACTGGTACATCCCAGTGTGTGCTGGGCCTGTCTAGGGCTGCCTCCAACCACGGGCTGGTGGCACAACCAGACTCATTACTGTCTGCCCCCACCATGTTTTCTGGGTGTGCAAACCCACGGGGCATTCAGAGAATCAGCCTGAGCTTTCTGATCAAATCTACAAATGCATCCACTACTCTTCAGACATAAACCCGGCTTTTATTGTCCCGCTTCACAGACTGATACTGTTAGTTCTCAAGACAGGACAATTTACCTACAAAGAAGGTTAATTTCATCACATTCTCCACACAGGTTTGTACAGAAACTAGTGTTTGAAACAAGACTCTTCCAGTAGCTGTTTACTCTCTAAAACAAACTGCTGAACTGTGGTGCCACACAGGGGATCAGAGGTTAGATTCCTAACTTCCAGGCTAGCAGGGAACAGCCCACCCTCCCAGTGCTTTCTGATCAGACCCTCCAGCCAACCGCAGGGCAGCATTAACAGGGTTCAGAGGGAGTCACATCCAGCCCTCCCCAGACACAAAAATGGGTCAGGCTGACACGAGGCATCCCCCAGAAAACTTCTCCCAAAAACCTTTTTAATTCTTTTCTGTGGCGGGGTGGGAAATAAGAGGCATTGCATTTCTTAAGACACCCTGAATCTGGGCCCTAGCCTGCTTCTGGTCCTATCTGACTAGGAACTATAACGAAACCCCAAATGACCCAGGGAAAGAAAAGACGGACTGACTGATCTAACTGGTCTTCTCCAGCCCTGCCCTGGATTGGCTGTTGAAGCATTTTGGGGTTAAGCTTCCCCCCAACTCACAGACATGGAAAGGAAACACGTTGAAGTGGGCCCCACCTGTGCCAACACGGTGATGAAGTTCCGGTTTAAGTGAACGGCTTCGTAGAGGGCCAGAAGAATTGCCTCATTGGTTCTACAAGAGCAGCAGAGAAGCAGAGTTATGTTAAGGGCTGCCCTCCAGGGACAGCCACCAGAGCAAAGGACTTTCCGAAGTGACTCATGATTCGGTGAGCCCAGCCGGAAACACCTTCAAGGGGCCTGAGTTTCAGAAGCGGCGCACGCCCACCCTCTGAGAGCCGAGCGCTTTTTATTTAAGGTGTATTAGCTGGGCACCCCCCAATTACTAGTCACTTTTGAAGACCTTGGCTATGGTCTTGGACCCCCTCAACCTTCCACCGAAGGACTCGCCTTGGTCCTCACTCTCAAGCACTGCTTCCTCCTTAAAGTCCCTGCATTTGAGAGCACAGAGCAGCCAGCTGCCTCCACCATCCCCTATTTATGTTGGGCTGGGGATGGAGGAGCAGCTTTTTCCCTCCTGATTTGAAAGGAAAGCACTCCTTGGGGCAGGAGACCGTGTCCACCACTATGATCTCCAACACCAAACACAAGAGGGGTGCTCCATGAACAGTAATTCCCCTCCCACTCCCTACATCCAACACTCGCACACAGCGTTCCAGAATGCTCCCGACACAGCCAGCCCAGGGCTCCTACAGTCCCAGCCTCGCCCGTCGTTTGCAGTTGCAAGGTACAATTTTGGTTGCCGGGCCAGAGCGGACGTTGCTTCGGCTTGTTTTTCTACATTAAAATGGCCCCATAATGGAACCGCAGCAGGTGACATTTTGCAATTCAGAACTAGCAAGGTAAATTGCCGTTCCCTGTACGGATAATATCTGTGTACTTACTGGACGGAGATTTTCTCATCGGCATCGGCTATGAACATGCTGCCCACCTGAGGAAGGAAATAGTATTGCACAGCTTTATGAAGCACATTAGGAAAAGCCGTTGCCATTGCTTGCAGCTAGCAAGAGCAGGCCTGGACAGGACCTGAAAGCGGAAAGGCCTTGGCTGGCTTGCAGACGAGGAGCAGGACAAGGAAACTCCCACAGCTTCCTTCCCCAGGTGGCCATGAGCTGCCCTTGGAAGAAGCCTCCCCCAGGACACATCTCGTAGCTACAGCTAACCCCCGCTCAAATGACAAAAGATGATGACTGATTCCCAGAGCTGGATCTCTCGAGGGGCTCCCCATACAGCCACAGACAAAACACTGTAGGTTTATGGCAATGCATTTCCCATCGCATTGTGCCAGCAACACTGCTTTGGGTCCGGCAGCTCCTGCAGAAGAGCAGCCATTTATTTTTTTTATGACAACGGCTGTTTAAAAAAAAGTCGTGCAGCTTTTAAAAATGAAGATGGAGAAGAAAATATTTCTGATTCTCAGCCAAAAAAATACTTAGCTCCTTGCAAAGCACAGCCATATGATCTGTGGTGTCGTTTGCACACCTCACACCCCCGCCCAGAGCCTGATCCAAAGCTCACTGAAGTCAATGGAAAGACTCCTGCTGAATTCAGTGGATTTTGGATCAAGGCCTCACATAGTCCCATATACTTTATTTATCTTTTAAGTACTCAAAACATGCTCTTTCCTCACTCACCATATTGGTTAAGGCTGAGAAAAAGCCACTCTGGTGCTCCTCTTCCTTATCTTTGTACTGCCTGAACAAACAGGGAAACAGCAACAGAAAGTGGGGTGTTACACACGGAAACAGGGTTATTTTATCCAAATCCCTATACAACAGACGGGTCAGGTCAGGATAAGAGCTGGAGAGAGCGTCAACCTTCACGTTTACTTTTCAAGGAGCTTGTGAAGAGAGCTACAAAGGGAATTCAAATCTCTGTTACGGACAGCCCATGGATTAAGGTAGGGGAAGGAAACCTATGGCACATGTGCCGAAGGCGGCACGCGAGCTGATTTTCAGTGGCACTCACACTGCCCAGGTCCTGGCCACCGGTCCGGGGGGCTCTGCATTTTAATTTAATTTTACATGAAGCTTCTTAAACATTTTAAAAACCTTATTTACTTTACATACAACAATGATTTAGTTGTGAATTGGTCCTGCTTTGAGCAGGGGGTTGGACTAGATGACCTCCTGAGGTCCCTTCCAACCCTGATATTCTATGATTCTATAGTTTAAATTTAGTGCCTTGCATGGTATAGTTTAGTTCTATATTATAGACTTATAGAAAGAGACCTTCTAAAAACGTTAAAATGTATGACTGGCACGCGAAGCCTTACATTAGAGTGAATAAGTGAAGACTCGGCACCCCACTTCTGAAAGGTGGCTGACCCCTGGATTAAGGTATGCAGTGGTGGGGTAGCCCGGTTGGTCCCAGGATATTAGAGACACAAGGTGAGTGAGGAAGAAGCTCAGTGTAAGCTGGAAAGCTTGTCTCTCTCCCCCACAGAAGCCAGTCCAATAAAAGGTATTACCTTTCTCCCCCCCCCCCCCCTCGTCTTCTGTAGTAGGGGACAGTCTGGGGGCTAACAGGAAAGGGCAGCATTGTGTTCTGAGGCAAAGATCACACTGCTGCTCAGCCAAGACCCACCCAGTCTGGAGTGAGATGAGGGGGGGAGCTAGGGAAATCTGAAAGGCATGCTCCCAAATAGCTGAGACACTGAACTGCCAGGAAATAAGGCTCATTAAAACCCTAACTCATAAAAGAAAACTGTTTTCAGGCATTTGTTTGGACTTCGATATTAATTGACTATTTCACAGGCCCCAGCGGGGTCTGAGACCATCTGAGCTTACAATTACTTACAATGCGACAAGCGAGGGCAACAAACCAACAGCTTTTGGAGAGGAAAAGCAGGCTACAGGGAACAGAGATTGCACAGCTTTTCGGGAAGGCGTGGGGGCAACACAGTACAGGGATAGCTTTTATTTTTTACTTCACTATATGTAAATATAAATCTAATAACCATATTAAGGGATCTGTTGACTGACTTCTTGTGGATGTTGTCATAGACGTAGGTTTTCAGCAGCATTTGCAACACAAAAACAAAGCATTGGGCTGCTGCATGAGAACCTGAAAGTGAAACTATCTAATAAACGAACGCAAAAGTGACCCCGCACACTCACTTGTCCAGATGAACGAAATACAAAAAGTAAACCGCCTACACGGTGAAAAGCAAAGCAGAGGATACAAACTGACAGCATTTCTTACACCGGGGGTTATTCGGGAAGGAAATCCAGAATCACTAACCCCAAGGGTTCAAAAAACATGAGAGATTTTACAACCCGAGCATCTGGGGCTATTTTCTTGGCCTTCGGGCTCTACTCGCTTCACCTTTTCCACAACCACGAGGGCTAGAAAATTACTTTTCTGTGGTGTTTTTTGTTTTGTTTGGGGTTTTTTTGGTAACAAAAGCCAAGATTCTCATGTGCTCTCCCAATTCCAGCAGCTGGGGCTTTAAGAAAAACACCAAATATCCCAAGATCCAAAATCAAATCGTGAGAATGGGCCACTCTGGAAATCGGTTTTCACCACGTGGGCTGACAGTTTCCAGCCCTGGGGCACACAGAGAAGCATTTAATCTGAGTGGTCTAACCTTCAAAGCTCACAACTTCCGATGACTACAATGGGAGCTGCATGCGCTCAGTGCTTCTGAGCGTCCAGTCACTTTGATAGAGGTGCCGAATACTGGCCATTCCTTTTAACCCGGCACGGTCTACTGAACTCTCCTGCAACTGGGCACAGCTTTGGTCTGCTCCAGAGACAAGAGCAACGGGGCCACCGCTCAGCTACACCTGAGAGCAGCGGAGCACGCGACCAGCGCTCCAGCACAGTGAGCTCTCAACATCTGTTTAACGGGGTTAAGAGGACACTTCCCCAGGCGCAGATTATCCTCTCGCTTCCTACGGCTGGATTTCTGGCAGCTGGTCCTGGCCCCAGTCTGAGCCCGGGTACTGCTTTCGATGGACCCTGGTCTGATCCACTCCGGCAATTCCTGCACTCCCAGATAGTTTTGGTTGTTTCCGATGGGCTGTCAATGATTTTTCTGGCCCAGCGGCACTCAATGAATCATTCGTTTTCATGTCACAACGTGAGATTTTGCAGGTAACTCACAGAGACGGTGGTAGAAACATAGACTGCAGAGCTGTCTGGTTTTCCCTAAGGCCAGGCCTCTCTTGAAGTGCATCTGCCAGATTCCTGCTGGCAACAGCAGCAGTAACAGCCTCAGAGGGTTGAGGGCCTCAAAGCACAAGGCAGTTCCGGCATCTCCACCCGCACCAGGAGCGCCGTGCAATGGAGGAGCTGCCATAACAGAAAATGCTGGTGGAAGGGGACAGCAACTCCCCACTGGGTTGAAAACCAAGGAGCCGTTTCCCAAGGCGGATTTACCTGTTGTACTCGGACAATGCCTGGGCGATGACCAGTCCCATTCCCTGCAAGAATACAGAACAGCTTTACACTGCAATCCCATACCACAGAAAACCAAATGATACTGACTGGATGAAGCTTCTCCCCCACCCACATCCCAGGGTGCTACACACAATTTAGTGTGCTAAATACGGAGTCAAAGAGTTAAAAAGCCAGGGCCCTAGCCAGGGGTCAGCATGGATTAACACTAACCAGGTCTGGGAAAGTTAAACAGACGTTCCAGGGGAGAGAGATCTACTCCAAGGAGCTGCCAGCGTGAAAGCGTGCTCATCCACCAACCTCAGTCGAGTGGAGAGAGCCTTAAAAGCCAGCTGGTGTCAGAGCAAAGATAGATGCTAAGCCCCAGCTCACAGTGAAAGCCTCAGATACAGGCAGGCTTTAAAAATCCAACAGAGCCAGCTTAAAATCCATCGACCACCGTATAGACTGATGGGATACAGTCATGGCAGTTCAGTCTTATGAGCAGACAAAAGCCCGACACAGAAACAGGAAAGTCGAAATGAGCCTGGGTTCGCTTAAGGTTTCCTAATTCAACATTCCAGACATCATGACGGTTACAGTAACAGGTGGTAGGACAAACCATTGTACCAGACCTTCCGCACCTGCAAATGCAGCCTGAATTGGATATTTAAACAGCTTCCAAATCAACCACATAACCAGGAGGACAAAACATCATCTGTTAAAATTACATGAATCTGGGGCAATTCTGAGTCTGTATGGGACACAAGAAACAGGAGCTCAAGATCTTCGTAAATTACATGGCCGCTAACACTGAGAAACCCCTTCATCAGTAGATCTCAAAACCTAAATAAATCTCAGGGTAGCTCTGGGAATTATGTCTGATCTTCATTTTACAGCTGGAGAAACTGAGGCAGAGCTAGGTCAAATGACAGTGAGTCAGTGTCCAACAGAATAAGTCCTGGCTCCCAGTCACCTGCTCTTACCCCTAGACAACAAATCCCTCCCTGCACACGATTCAGAAGGAAGCTTTAATATCGGATATCCACTCGGCAACGTGAAGGAAAAGTAAGTGTCAATACAGAAGAACCAGGGGTTGGTCTCATTTCAATCACACTCCCGTGCTGGCAGACAGTAAGCTAAGTTGACACAGGATGGAGGGGATACAAACGGTATGTTTGTCCTACACCAGGCAGTAGTCTACACGCTGCACAGCTGATTCTATTACAGCGAGAAAGCGCCTAGGACTGCAAGAGCCACTTTGGGCAGCAAACCCCAAGGACACAGAGATGGCCGATTTTAGCATGTTCCTTTCTACCCGTCCAGGTCCTTATTCCAACGAAACATTGAATTGTTACTTGATCAGGAATCCATCTCTCCCCCCCACTCCTAGAAGTTGATTTAGTTGGGGTTGGTTTGAGCAGAGGGTTGGACTAGATGACCTGAGGTTCTTCCAACCCTAATCTTCTATGATTTTAAGTCTCAAAAGTGCTGCTAGCAGGGAGGCCAATCATGCTGATGCTCTCTGCTGTGGCACAATCCCGTCCCGGCTAGGTCAAGACACACAAGGACACAGAGCCCACGAGAAGGTTCCAAGGAGCTGGTTACTCACATTGAGTGTGGCCTCGTCATCTACAATAGAGAGTTTCACAATGTAGGGATTCACCGACTGTTAAACAAGAGAAGAAAGGAAAGTTTGGTCTCTGGTTAAAAAAAACCTACTGGCTAGTCAGCAAAGTTTCCACAGCTTCCCCTGGAGGTTTCTTCCCACTGCCCCCACCCACAATGCAACAGCAGCCATTCATTACATTTAAACCACTGGGCTTTGGTTCCCCTCCGTCTGCTCAGCCTCCCAAGGAATCGATCGTCTTTCTGGCTTTGCCCTCAGTGAGACAAGCCACCACTGGCTCAGCTACGCATTCAATATTATCTTTTATTACCAATTCTGATAGCTTGGTAAGCATCACGCAACCCTTCCATTACTGACACCTGGCACTATGCAGCAGGCCCAGGTAGTGGTGCAGGAGCTGAACATTACCACGGTCTGAGACTTGTGACTATGCCAAGAACTGCTTGAGTGAAGCACCAGGGAAGGCCTGATAGTGTTAAGGACCCATCTATCAGAAACTGCCAGAACTAGAGCTCAATCCTTCCTAGTTCAGACTGCTGAAAGCTTGGAATCCAAGGAGCATACAAATCGTCTGTACCAGATGACCGGAGGATGGCTAGCAGAATGCCAATTTTTAAAAAAGGCTCCAGAGGCAATCCTGGCAATTACAGGCCGGTAAGCCTGACTTCAGTACCAGGCAAATTGGCTGAAACTATAGATAAAACACAATATGTTGGGGAAGAGTCAACATGGTTTTTGTAAAGAGAAATCATGCCTCACCAATCTACTAGAATTCTTTGATGGGGGTCAAACAAAAATGTGGACACGGGGGATCCAGTGAATATAGCGTACTTCGACTTTCAGAAAACCTTTGCCAAGGTCCCTCACTAAAGGCTCTAAAGCAAAGTAAGGAGTCATGGGATAAGAGGAAAGATCCTCTCATGGATTGGTAACTGGTTAAAAGATAGAAAACTAAGGGCAGGAATAAATGGTCAGTTTTCACAATACAAAGAGGTAAATAGTGGTGTCCCCCAAAGATCTGTACTGAGACCAGTGCTGTTCAACATATTCATAAGTGATCTGGAAAAAGGGGTAAAACAGTGAGGGGGGCAAAGTTTGCAAATGATACAAAATTACTCCAAATAGTTAAGTCCAATGCAGACTGTGAAGAGTTACAAAGGAATCTCACAAAACTGGGTGACTGGACAACAAAATTGCAGATGAAATTCAATGAGGAAAAGTGCAAAGCAGTGCACTTTGAAAAACATAATACCAACTATATATACTCAAAATGATGGGGTCTAAATTAGCTGTTACCACTCAAGAGAGAGATCTTGGAGTCACTGTGGATAGTTCTCTGAAAACATCCACTCAATGTGCAGCGGGAGTCAAAAAAGCGACCAGAATGTTAGAAACCATTAGGAAAGGGATAGATCATAAAACAGAAAATAACACAATGCCACTGTATAAATCACTGGTACGCCAACATCTTGAATACTGCATGCAGTTCTGGCAGCCCCTCTCAAAAAAGATATATTAGAAATGGAAAAGGTACAGAGAAGGACAACAAAAATGATTAGGCGTATGGAACAGCTTCCATATGAGGAGAGATTTAAAAGATTGGGACTGTTAAGTTTGGAAAAGAGACAACTGAGGGGGGATATGATAGAGGTCTATAAAATCATGAGTGGTGTGGAGCAAGTGAATAGGGAAGTGTTATTTACCTCGTCACATAACACAAGAACCAGAGGTTACCCGAATAAATTAATAGGCAGCAGGTTTAAAACAAATACAAGGAAGTACTTCTACACATAATGCACAGTCAACCTGTGGAACTCGTTGCCAGGGGACGTTGTGAAGGCCAAAAGTATAACGGGGTTCAGAAAAGAATTAGATAAGTTCATGGAGGACAGGTCCATCAATGGCTATTAGCCCAGATAGTCAGGGATGCAACCCCATGCTCTGGGTGTCTCTAAGCCTCTGACTGTGAGAAACTGGGACTGCACAACAGGGGATGGATCACTTGATAACCGCCCTGTTCTGTTCATTCCCTCTGAAGCACCTGGCTCTGGCCGCTGTCGGAAGACAGGATCCTGGGCTAGATGGACCTTCGGCCTGGCCCAGTCTGGCCATTCTTATGTTCATCTGAACTCCCAGCTGAAGGAAATGTCCAGACTAAGCCCCTGTAGAGATGCCACTAATATTTTAAATAACATTTTTCATTAGTAAAATACGTTTGTTTATTCCAAGTTGTTTACCCCGTCAATGCAGAGACTAGCCAAGGCAATTTGGGACTGGCTCGAACAAACAAAAAAGGGGCAGGGGAAGGTTATAAACACCCAGCAAAGATCCTTCAGCTGCCGCGTCGATTTATCAAACATTTTATCACTGAGTTACCCAACTTTACAACTAGCTTGTCGGAGATGCGGTTCCTTGCTCAAGGTCACACAGTGAGTCAGGAACAGGGCAGGCAGAGCCCAGCCCCATCCCAAACTTTCAGCTTCGTGACAATTACATTTCCTCTTCAGTTACATTTAGGAGTTTAAACCCAGAGGAGATGGCATATCAGGACAGACCAATGGTCTGGGTAACCTGATATCCTGTCTCCAATAGTGTCCAGTACTATAGGTTTGATACAATGGCAGAAAACCCCCACAATGCACCTGACTGAGCAACACTACCTCATGGGAAAAGAATGGGGAAATTTCCTGACCCCAGCTTATGCCTTGAGGCTGGAGGAAAGAGCCCTTTGAGTAACTGCATATGCCATTCTTCATATAAATATAATCTTCAAAAACTAAATAGAGTCTTTGCTTTGGTAATATCCTGCAGCAGTGAGTTCCACCAGTTGCTGATTATATGCAGCTGACAACCATTTCCTTTTACCTTTCTTGAGTGTGCTAAGTTCAAGTGTTCTCTTGCTCTACTACTAGAAGGATGGGAAACAAGGAGTACAGTCTTCTCAATATCTAGTATCACTTTCTAGACCTCTGTCACCTCTCTCCTTATTCACACCCTTCCAAACTAGAGAGACCAAATCATTTTACCTTCTCCTCACAAGGGAGCCCCTTCTCGTGTGTCTAATTAATTTTCACTACCCTTCTGTGAGCTTCTCCTCTTACTGGAATGCCTTTAACAAGAGGAGGTGATCACAGACGCGCACACCCCCCCTGTTGGTTTATAAAATGGCGTTATTCTCTATTCCCTCACTCCCGTTTGTGAGGGCTGTCACAGCACACTGAGAAGACTATTTCCCTGAGCTGCCCACAGTCAATTACAGACCGGTCCCCTACTCGGAGATGTTACAACTCATTCTGAACCCACCCATGTATCGGACTCATACCAGTTCTTCCTTTTTGTGTGCATTAGCTCGCACTATGATCTATCTGAATTGACATCGAGTTGCCCAGGTATCCATTTACATTAGGCCCTCCTGGCATTCCTCGCTCACCGCTCTCATCTCTCCTCAGTTTCAGAGTGTCCTTTATTTTCTCCTGCAAGAGGCTTTTGCTAAAGTTTTAGGAGAGTAAATAAATTGCACCTGCCATTTTCCTATCTCCCCCTGTGGGTCCCAGCCTTAGAAGCTAGGTAGGAAGCATTCCTAGTAAGCTAGAAGTATTGAGAAGCCACTAGAACATCACTGGTGTAGTACCAGGAGGGCGGAGATAGATCTTCAGCCTCCAACTGCCTCTCCTGAGAGAAAACAGAAAAATACCGTATTATCCCAGCACTCCGGAGGAAGCTGATCTTTTCTAACCACGACCTTCACAGAAGCAGCATGGCAGCACTCACTCTATTCACCAGACAGGAGTTAGAGCCTCATTCCTGGAGATGACACACTCGAGGGACATCTCTTATAAGCTACCAAAGTCAATTACTGATAAATCACAGAGAAGCAGAAACAAGCACAGTCAGGGAACCGCACAAGGACAGCCCGGCTACGCGCTCAACGGAGCAGAACCCCCTCCATGAATGCCATGCAGCCAAGTGACCAAAACCATTCTGAATTCCTCCACAAGTGTAGCTGAGCTACTTAATAAACCAATGGAAACCAGAAATTCTTCACTAAGAAAACAAAGGAGAAATACAGGCTAAATACACAATCTCAACAATATTAGTTAGTCATACAAATGCAATCCAGATAGGGTGACCAGATGTCCCGATTTTATAGGGACAGTCCCAATTTTTGGGTCTTTTTCTTATATAGGCTCCTATTACCCCCATCCCCTGTCCCGATTTTTCACATTTGCTGTCTGGTCATCCTAAATCCAGAGTCCATTCATTTATGCATTCACTGCACAGTCGTGGTGGAATCACACAGCTGTACAGCCACCCCTGCAATTCACCCTCTCCCCGGCCAGAGGGTCTCGCTCTGCAGCCAGGCCTTCTAAGCAGGGAACTTTGGCCCGAGTGATGAGTGGGGGCAGAGCCATTCATCTCCCTAATGGCACTAGGGGGCAGAGTTTTAGAGCCTATCTCCCTCACTGATACACAGCCACCAAGTAACTGCTTCCACAGGGCAACAGAGAAAGGAGGAATGAGGGGAAAAAGGAGTCACCCAGACTGCTAAGTGGAGTCTCCAAGCTCCTCGGTGCAAGCAGGGGAGTGGAGGGAGAAGGTGTGTGTGACCTGTTTAAATGGAGCCTTGGCATCCCCCATGCCACTCTTCAGTCAGTTAGGCCAACAACTGGGGTTGGGGGAGCCGGACTCCTCAACCACGCTGAAAGCTCAGTGGCGAAGCTGATAGAGAGACCAAGATAGCCCAGGACTGGAGGCCTGAGAGAGGAAAAAGCAGAACCAACTGACTTCTTTTAGGCTGGGGATTGTGTGAGAGTTTTGCTGCTAACAACCAAAGGAACACTACCAGCTAATCAGACAAGCACAGGAACTGAAACAAACTGAGAAATAAACCCCCTTCAAATGTTTGACTCCCCTCAAAAACATTGACTCCCATGTCTTATAAGAAAATGTGAAGGGGAACTCATTCTTTCTAAACAGACCAATTTCAAATCATTCATATTTCTGATAGAGCTCCTTTCAAACAGCATGTCCTCCGACTT